TCAGCTTAATTTCAATTAGGAGGTGTCTCTTACTACCTATGGAACAGTCTGTCTTAGACTTCCTGTGTTTTCACACTCAGCATCTTCTCAGCAAGGTCTGTGGATTCCAGTTTCCAGTTTTACTCCACCCTGGCCCAAGCCCAGGCTACTCCTGAACACCCACAACAAGGCCCACCCTTTCCTAGAGCCCTTAGACTGTCGCTAACTGGACCATTTTATAGACTGACGATTTGATCTTGTTCAGGGCCCAATGTTCAGTTTTGGCTCCTAAAATGAGCATCACCGAACTGGAGTATAACTAACATAAAAGATTGGATTCATGTCACATCAGAGTTGAAGGGACATTAGTCCTCCTTTATCCTTGGGAGATATGCTCCAAGACTCCCAGTGGATGCCTAAAATCATGGGTAGTACTGAACTCAAAATATAATGTGGGGGCTGGGGATGTGGCTCAAGTGGTAACGCGCTCGCCTGGCATGCGCGGGGCACTGGGTTCGATCCTCAGCACCACATAAAAATAAAATAAAGACGTTGTGGCCACCAAAAACTAAAAAATAAATATTAAAAAATTCCCTCTCTCTTTCTAAAAAATATAATGTGTTTTTTTATATATACACACCTGTGATAAAGTTAAAAGTTAAGAACAGATAAAGATTAATAACAATAATAACAAAATAGAACAATCATAATGATATGCTGTAATAAAATTGTCAGCATCACTATTTTTGTGCTTTGGGGCTGCAGTGAAGTAAAATAAAGGTTACTGAACACAAGCCTGGCAATATTTTAACAGTCTATCTGATAATCAAGATGTCAATGGCAGGTAGCATGTCAAACATGGATATACCAGACAAAGGACTGATTGATGTCCAGGGCAGGATGGAATGGGACTGCACAAGATTTCATGTTGTTACTCAGAATAATACATAATTTAAAACACTGTTTTTGGAGAATTCCATTTAATATTTTTGGACCCCAGCTAACTGGAGGTAACTGAAACTGCAGAAAGTAAAACAGCAGATAAGGAGGGGCTACTGTATATAGAAACTATTCAATAAGCATACAGCTATTTATATTCTGGTATGCACCAGGCAAAGTGCTTTAGATCCTCATTTAATCTTTTCAGCAATCTCATGCCCTATTTATTTGTGTATTTTAGAGTTATGTTTAGGCTCAGAGAGGCTAAGTGACTTAACCCAAGTCACCCAGGTAAGAAGTAGAGACCTGTGATTCATATCTACATTCTGGCTCTTGAGCTTGTGCATTTAGTTATAACATAATGCATTATAAAATAGAGTTTTAAAAGTCAGTACAGAGTGCAAGACTAAAAGGAATTGAGTTTATTGATTATAAAGAACAGTTTTCTAACAACTCAAGGTCTTCACCATAAAATTGCTCACTCTGGGTAGTACCCTCATTAGCTACTTGAATGCCTGTGTTTTTAATGCTCACATATCAGTAACATGGTAGAAAGAGTTCTTAAATACATGGGAGCTCATGAATGGCACATGCGTGCTAGGGACCTTTTCAATTCTAATTTCTTCTGATTATAATTTGTCTCTCAAGGATATTTATTATCAATTTATTCCATATGATGAGCTTTCATTTTCCATGAAATTCATAAAGATGATTCTTTTTTTCTGTGTAAAACCAGAATGGAATTTATTACCTTAACTGGCAGAAGGAGGGTACTCTCTCTCACTGTAGGTGAACTTGTAGAGGAATCCAATTCATATTTCACTGAGGAATAAAAAATGACCTGGGATCATGGAAACCCTAAGGTGATTGCCAAAAGTATTTTAAACAGATCTATTTAATTTTGTTAAGATAATAATGACAGGCAGGAGAGGAAGAAGGAAATGACACTGGATTCCAAGTTGCAGGATGTGTCCTTCTATAACTGAGAGTGCTGCTATTATTTCAATATTCATCTTGATATTACGAAGTGCTCTTGGTGAGTTCTGATATGCTTGCTTTATATGTGCCTTCATTTTCTATGGATTCACTAACATTTTTATTTCTTAAAAATGCATTTTATGTTTTAAGAGAAAATACACTGAATATGCTAAAATCTAATTTTGATAGTTGTATTTTCGAAAATGTGTTGACTTTCTCTTATTAGAAATAAGCACTATTGGAAATGCTGTAAGGATAACTTTATGGGAAACAAGGGGGTTAGATAGTTTTTTTTCTCCCCTATGAACATTCTGGATTCAGTTTGGGAAAAAAAATAAGTCAATATATGTTCTCTTCCCCCCCCCCTCTATTTGTTCATCTTATCTTTCTTCTCAGCTGCTCCCCATTGTGCCAACCCTCCTGGTTCTCTTCCTAAATCACACAGTTTGTACCAGTAATTGGAAGAGAGTGCATGTAATCCAAGGAATCCTAACTTGTACAGATACTTTCATGGAGATAGTTATAAATGATGATTATGCAGAAAGCTTTTTCTTGAAAAATTTATCACATATGAAGAACTTTAGAGAGAATATATCACAAAAAGAGATGATGTGGCTCATCGGAGCTGTAAACAGGTTTAGAAGGAATTGAAAGAATTTAGTATAGGAACAGGGAGGAACCTGTGTTTTCAGCAAAGGAGGGAGATTGAGAAAACTGAATGAGTTAAGGTGTCTAGCCTGGGAATCTAAAAGGAAGGCTCCACTTGAAGTGTAGGTGTTAAAGAAGGTTAGGAGATTTCTAGGTAAGGTAACGAATATCAGCAAGGAAAGAGGCAGAGAAGTGACAGGTGTGTCTAGGGAATGCTGATCAACTTAGTTTACAACAGAGTTCAAGAAAGGGAGAAATCAAAGGAAGAAAAGTAAGTTCCAGGCTACATTGCAAAGACCCTCAAGTATCAGATTTAATACTTAAATACTAGCCTGTGCAGGTGAAGCCAGATTTAAAGTTAGGTAGTCAGTGTAGTTAGATAAATCGGGTCTAATATCGAGTGAAATCTAAAATGGAGACCATGCGGAGAATGACTCCGGGAAAACACAGGACAACTCATGGAAGTCCCGAAAAGGCCCTAGGCCAAAGTCCACCTCAAAGAAATGTTAATGAACAGCCCCCAGCAAAAAGGTGCTGACTCAGAAGTCCTTCCTGACCAGATTACTTCTTTGGCCCACCTGTGTCCCACCCCTCGGTCCTTCCCACCTACATTCCATCACTGAAAGAACTATAAAAAGGGAAGACAACATCCCTTCCACGGATTCCACCTCTTGGGTCCCCTTCTTCCTCCAGGAGAAGTCTTTTCTGCTGTCCTTTAATAAACTTCTAATTTCTACTCTGACCTTGTCTTGGCGTGCTTCTTTGGTGTTATTCTTCAACATTGGGGAAGCAAGGACTCGTCACCGGTCAACAGCGGTATCACAGGGATGGTGGTTTAGCCCCCTTTCTTTTAGGAGGTTGGTATTTTTCATCAGCTGTGCCACATATGTATGTACTGTTCCCTCCTACAAGGGAAGGCTCTCCATTGTATGTTTTGATTTATAATGCAATGCTGAACAAATTCTAGGTTTATTTAATATACTGGTTGTTGACTATATATAAATCTCTGGCACTATCAAGCCCCCTTTATACTTTATGTGCTGATAATTGTTTATGGTGTTAATATCATATAATAAATATCATAACAGTTTGTTTCATGCATTATATGTATGTTGTATATATATTTGTGTATATATGTATAGTTTTTTGAATTTTTTAAAAACTATATTTGTTTAAGGCAGATAAAAAATCTTTCTAGATATTTAATTTGAACAGACACTTATCATGGGGCCAAAAAAAGAACTTATTTTTTCAAATACTAAACCTACCATGGAATCTTGGATCTGCAATACGCTCAGCACTCATCTTTTCCTTCCTTCCCCTTTATTTCACAGATGAGACAAAACCACTTATCTCAAACTCACATCAGTTACTGGCAATGCCAAGGCTAAAATTCAGTTTTCTGGTATCTTTCTACCATACAAACTCTTCTTATCTGAAATAAGTGACCAATAAAACCAAAACATTTAAAGGCTAACATACATTTGCAATTTAAAAAGTTAATTTCATAGATCACATCAAAATGGATGAGTCAGTTCTATAATTCATATATAGTAGTAATATTTTTGTTAATATTATATTAGCAGGCATGCAAAGTTTCTAACAAATCATTTTCTCTACAAGTAGTACCTCTAAATTTATCTTAACAAAGGTTAACCTGTGGCAGTTTGGAGAACAAACAGAAGGACATTCTCTTCACCATGAGAATTTTTCCTCTTCCTCTTTCCTGGCTACTTATCTTAGTTTATAATAGAACCTCTACCCCTTGATCACAAGGACCATCCTGGAGAGTCAAGGCCCTAGTTCCTGGAAGCTCATAGTGCAGAGAACTATTAAGAACAATGTATCCTATATGGGCTTATTTCCCAAGCTGAAATAGAATTAACGCTATTAATGACGACAATAAACATCTTTGGAGTTATCGTCACACATTCAGTGTTCTGCTTCTCATTCTGGAAGCTTCTCTAGACAAGAGGCTGGTCTGATTTATCTGCATCATCCCAGCAGGCAGTTGCAGCCACACCACTGAGTAGGTGGTACTGCTCAAAATTAGTAGAAGGAATGTTTGGACACTTCAGACTTCCAAGGGGCAGAAAAATAGCCCGCCTGAAAAACAATTTGTTCTGGATTCACTCTGAAGGCAAGGCAGTTTTTCACTCCTCTACTGAGCTCCGGGTTTCTTTCCCACTCAAGGCCACGGAAAACAATCAGTGAAGACTGAGCGTCAGTCAGGCTCCGGAATGGCTGCTATTCGCTTGGAAGCCTTATAGTTTTCCGTGCTTTGTTTCCCCCTCCTGACCTCTGCCAAGTCCCCAGGCCCCGCTCTGCCCAGTAAAGTTCTGAGCCTAGCGACAGCGTCGGGGGAACCGAAAAACCGCGGAACCAGAGGCAGAAGGAGCGGTGGGGGCGGCGGGAGCAGGAGTGGAAGGACCGGCAGGCCTAGCTCCCACGCGGCGGCGGTGGCTGGGGGAATGGAGCCCTTGCGGGTCCTTGAGCTGTACAGTGGCATTGGTGGCATGCACCACGCACTGAGAGGTGAGAAAGGCCGAATGCTTTCTGGAATGAATCTAGGACGCTTGTTGGTGCCTCGGCGCCGAGGGGGGACAGAGCGGCGAGGCGCTAGGGGCGGAGACGGAGTTGAGGCGGCGCTTGGTTGCCCAGGAAACCGGCGGCTGCGACGCCCCGGCCCGCCCCTCCAGGCGGAGACTCCCTTTTCCAGGGCCCCACGTTGGTAGCTAGGGCAGGCCCTGAGCCCCCAGGGACCCAAGTTTGTGAGGTCGCTTTCGCTAGGCTGTTAAGTCGAATTAAAATGGAGCCGACCAAGGTCGGGGGAGGGGCGAGCCCTTTCCCTGGTGCCTGCCCCACTTCTACACGTGCTGTCGCCTTGCATGGTCTTTTATCTTGGGGGGAAGTCCAAGTGGGAGGGGCGGGGTCGAGCAGGATGCTAGCTAGGATTCAAGGTAAAAGTTGGCGCATACTAACTAGGACTGTGGGGAAACCCAGAGGGGAAACCTGGTGAGTCTGTGGAATCTTCTCCAGCCCTACATTTAGATGCCAGAGATCTGAGTTCAAAGTAGAGTTCAAATTTTGTTGCACTGGGTTCCTTTCTTAAATGTTTTGGAACCCGTTTCCTGGTTTTTAAAAGTGTGAAACTGTTCTTTCAGAGAGGAATTGTGAGGATTAAAGATAAAATGTGTCAAGTGCTTATTAGCGTAGGGTACCTTGTAGCCTCTCAAACTATTGTCATTCTACTTACCTCTTTCCTTTTGAGTCGTTTAATTTCTTTGGTGCTAGGTTTACTTTTGATAATATTCACTTAAAATTGATTGAGTGCCTATTTTGTGGTAAGTACTGTAGGGTGGACACTGGGATATGGAGTGACAAACTTCGAACCTGCATGTTTGTTTATTTTTTGCGGTGCTGGGAATTGAACCCAAGGCCTCTTGCAATGCATGTTTATTCTTACCTTACTAAGACAACCACAAAACTGAAGCTTCCCTGTTTCCCTTTGCAGTATCAAGAGTAATGAGACGCTTTAACTGACAGTGTTTAATGGATGGAGTATATAGATTTTCTGAGCAGATATTGAGTTTTAGTACTTTATTTTTATTTATTTATTTTTATGTGATGCTGAAGATGAAACCCAGTGCCTCACACATGTAGGCAAGCGCTCTACTACTGAAACACAACCTCAGCCCAGATATGAGTTTTGAGTCTAGACTCACCTCAGAGTTTCTCACTCCATCTTCTTTTCATCTGCCATATCTGAATTAATCCGGGGCCTTTTCAGAGAGGCCTACTCTGTGACCCTGTGATTCAAAGTAGTCTTCCTGTCCTCCCTACCTCTTTGCTCTCCAGGACTTTGGTTTGAGGTTTACATATGAAGGATATCTACTCAATCCTATTGATGCAAATGTTTTCCTAGCATTTGTTTGTCTTCCAATGTGCACTTATTTAATGTACCAAAGTTTTAAATTTATCTGTAATAAAATACATTGCTCCCTTCCAAGTGATTTATAAATAATAATGAAAACTATAGCAATGGCAGCTAACTTTAACTTTTATTAATGATTTCTAAATGTCACAACCTGGTCTAAGTATGTAATAATGCTAGTTAGTGGTAAAACCAGTATTCTAACCTATGTCTCTCAGACCTTTATAACATGCTGTGTTGACATTGTTCTGGTGTGATCCACTATCTTTGTTCTATACTTTGAATAATAGTAAAAAGCAGCAAAATGGGAATAATATTGAGCAACAGTTTGGGCTGATTTGTAGGTAATGTTTTTAATGGATTTTTTTTTATTGTGGTAAAGTATATATAGTGCAAAATATATTATTATAAATATTTTTAAAATGTACAATTAAGTTGTATTAAGTGACTCAAATGTTGTGCAACCATTACCAATTATCAGTTTCCAAAACTTTTTCATGGTCCCAAACAGAAGCTGAAAGATATTCCATTGTAGGTATATACAATTTTGTTTATCCATTCAATCAGATTGATGGAAAGTTGAGTTGTTTCAACCCGTTAACTGTGTGAATAATGCTGCTTGGAATATTGGTGTATAAGTATCCTTTTGAATCCTTTGACTCTCAGTTCTTTTGGGTTATAACCTAAGAATGGAATTGCTAAATCATATCTTCTTTTTAGTTCTTTGAGGAACCACCAGATTTTTCCACAGCAGCTGCATAATTTTACATTTCCAACAACAATTCATGAGGGTTCCATTTTATCCTGACATCTATTTGTTTTACATTCTTTTAAATACTAGCCATAATAATGCATATGCATTGATATTTCATTATGATTTTGATTTGTATTTTCTTAATAACTAAAAATGTTAGGATTCTTTCATGTGCTTATTGGAAATTTGCATATCCTCCTTTGGGAAATATATACTAAAGTCTTTGGCCCATGTTGTATTTTTTTTTAGTTGTATGTAGAAGTTCTTTATATATTTTAGATATTAATCCCTTGTCAAATATATAATTCACATTTTCTTATATTACTGAATCTTAATAGAGTATGTTTAATTTCTTTAACAACACTGATTTTCTTCTAACCCAGTGAACATTTTAATAACAGTAAAAATTTCATCCTTATTAGTGTATGCAAAATGCTGTTATATTGTTGTAGTCACTATATAGTGCTTTGTATTTTCTAAATTTCATTTTACTTTATTATATATCTGCATGCCCATGTATTTACATGTCCACATGTGCTATTCCTCTCTGTTCTTGTGTAGCCTGTTACACAGTACTGTACTGTGACAGGTTCTCCTTATATGACTATCAAGTTTATTATTGAATAGATAATCATTCTGACATTATTTTGATAAAACTATAGTCATCATCATTATTTTATATCATACACAGTTCTTAGTAGCAAACCATAGAAGTCACTGTCTGTTTAACATAAGCAGAAACATAATTAAAGGACACTGGGAAGCTCACAGAATTTACAGGACACACACGTTACAAACAGGTTAGATCATCAGGAGCACTGCTCAAACCACACTCTGGGGATTGCCCTAGTAAAGCTCTATACTTACATCGCACTTTGCATCAGCAATTCTGGAGACTGGATGCCATAAATGCCAATGAACTTTTGTCCTTAAAAGTGGATATTTCTACCATCTTCTTCACCAAAAAGATGGATTTTCTCATTTACTTCCTCACATTGCTACTTTCAAAGGGAGGTCTTACAGGATTGCAAGTGGTTTGTGGGTACTAGATCCCTCTGCCACACAAAGCTGGGAATGTGAATTCTGTCTTCTGTTTTGAGAAGCAAGGACCCATATGGGGAAAAATTTTCAAAAATAGGCATAGATTCTAGAGTGCAACAAGCATAACTCATCTACTACATTCTTATATACATAATACTCATTTATAGGGATACTTAGTATGCTCTTAGATCTTTCCTTCCTCCCTCCCTCCCTCCTCCCTTCCTTCCTTCTATAGAAGAATGAACCCAGGGGTGCTTAACCACTGAACCACATCCCCAGCCCTTTTAAATATTTTATGTAGAGACAGTGTCTCACTTAAGTTGCTCAGGGCTTCACTAAGTTGCTGAGGCCGACTTTGAACTTGCTATTCTCCTGCCTCAGCCTCCCAAGCTGCTGGGATTACAGGCATTAGCCACCATGCCTGGCCACTCTTAGATATTATACCCGTATAATCTATGAAATTTTGGTTAGTGAGCTGGGTGTGGTGGTGCATTCCTGTAATGCAGAGACTCAGGAGGCTGAGGCAGGATGATCAAAAGTTTAATGCTAGCCTTGACAACTTAGTGAAATCCTGTCTCAAAATATAAAACAAAAGGAGCTGGAGATGTAGCTCAGTGATAAAGCAACCCTGGGTTCAATCCTCAGTATGGGGAAAAAAAGTGAAAAAATCTTGATTAATGAGAATCATTTGTTTGAAAATATCTCTTTATAGAACAGTGTAAGAAATAGTATCATGGAATATATATCAGTGGAGAATGCAAGGATACCTATAAATATATGCAAATAAGATTCTATAGTTTTCTCATTTTAAAATTAGTGGCAGGAGAAGAGTAAGATACAGTTTAAGGTGGCTAATAAAGGCAAGCTCTAGCTGGACAGTTATATAGTCAAACACTGGAAACACTCTTAAAACACAAAGAAGTTCAGCTCCCTCAAATAATTTCTGAAGATTTTCCATGGTATTGGTTTTGAGTTTTAGTCATGTAATATCATCTTTAGCAAGAATTGCTCAGCCTTTATATGGTATGATAAAGTGCTAAGCCTCTCACTTGCCATTCATTAGTTGCTAAACTTCCAAATCTCTTTTTTCTTTGTTTCTTAATGCCTTATATACTGGAGATTCCCATCACCCACTCTGTGATTAGGTATATTTATAAGTGATTCAGGCAAGTGCATTGTCGTGAAGTGTTTTTCTGTGTAGATCTGTGTGTCACCTAATGATATTATTGAAACATAGTTTGTTAAGGAGTTTGAATTGCTTGATTTTAAATTATATTTGCCTTTGGGATTGTAAATTTTTTCTTTTTATGTCTATTTTCCCATTGTTGCTGTTATATTATTTGTCAGATTTAAAGCGAAGCAAAATATAACTGGTCCATTTAAAAATATTTATCATTTGTAGTTCATAAATATAGTTACTCCCTCAGTGCTGACAAATAGATAACAACATTTAATTTATTTTAGGGCCTATCTAGTGTTAAGTTTTTTAGGGGTCTCAATAATTAGTGCCCCTCTTCTTGGTTATGAATAAGTTGAGAAATAAGACTAAGGCAAATAGGAAATTAAACTCATGTCATTTTTATTACTAATAAATGTTGAATTAGAAGATGTAGCTTAGTAACCAAATGGGTCATCTAATATCGAACTAATAGTTAAGCAGCACTAGGCACAACTGAAAGGTCCAATCAGATCCCATGTTTCCTGTGGATAGCTTATTCCCAAGAGGGAATGGGTGGAACTGAGTCAAATATGCCAAATTCTCATATTAGCCAATTAGAGAAGTCACTCCCTTCATGGAAGAGAGGT